CAGCCTAAATGCAACATGGCTGTTTGCTTATTGTTGTAGCACCGGACACAAGCAAATGCTTATGCTAATTTAGCGCTAGTTAGCCAAACTAGCTGTTGCCAAGTGAAGGGCTGTATTGAACTCCCTAATTATGAAACAATACTAGGCATGGAGGCCAAACTGCTTCTATAGTTCCAGACAAAATGCAAGAAAAGCCGCCATCACCAATCAAAAAAGTTGAAGGTCAGCATTTCAACCATAATACTAAATAATACAGCACTCAAACCAGCACAACCTCAATAACAAACTGCTATTTGTTGTTACCTGCTGAACTATTGTCATTAATGTAAACCAAAAAAATGTTTTTGAATGTAAAATGAGCTGTTTTTGCAGCCTAGTTTCTATATGTAAAGCGTATGGACTGGCGAGTGAAACCTTTCCACAGTACATCAAACAAAACTCCATTAAATAGGCCCTTCAAGGCTTATTATTCAAAAGCCTCATGGACTAAATTGCAGACTGGCTCTGTTTGAGTTTTCTAAATGTTTGCATAATTAAATAATTAGACAAAGTAGTTCAGAGTGGCTTGATGGAAAATGCTCTGTGAACAATGCCAATGGGTCTGGCACTGGCCTACACTGAAGAGGACTGAATATGTCAGTGTATGTCAAAATTTGGTGACTGACTGGGTGTGGGGAGAAATGAGACTACTCAAATTTCAGATGGATTATTACTCAGGATTATTAATATACTGTAAAATACTAAATTTTGTCCAGCAGCCAAGATGTGCAAAATTTGGTGGGAAATTGCCCAATCTGGCAACAGTGATGCTAGGATAGCTGGCTAGAATTAGCGATCATCTTGCTGACTAAACTGACAGGAGTTAACTGAAACATCTCTAGGTCAATTTAAATGATCTGAAGTTATCAAAATTGATTATTTTTTGTAATAAAATTTTAAATTAGTTTCCATTTTAAGCCTAATAACACAGGAGAACTACAACCCCATTTCCAAAAAAAAAGAAAAAAAAGAATTAATGTACAAACTGAAAATTCAAAGACAACATATCAAATGTTGAAACTGAGAAATTTTATTGTTTTTTTTTATATTTGCCCATTTTGAATTTGATGCCAACAACACGTTCCAAAAAACGTTGGGACAGGGGCAACAAAAGGCTGCTAAAGTTGTGTAATGCTAAAAAAAGCACCTGGTGGTTAATTGGCAGATGGTCAGTAACATGATTGGGTATAAAAATGCATCCCAGAGAGGCTGAGTCTTTCAGAAGTAAAGATGAGGAGGGGTTCACCACTCTGTGAAAGACTGCACCATCAAATTCTTGAAACAATGCAAGAATAATGTTTCTCAACGTAAAATAGCAAAGAACTTTTGCTTTTCATCATTACAGTACATAATAACATTAAAAGATTCAGAGAATCTTTTACTATAGTCTTTGTACTATTTTCAATGAAATATAGGGTTTAAATGATTTGCACATCATCAAATTTTGTTTTTATTTTTCGAAAACGGGTTGTATTTTCCTCAGCTGTAGTGGTTCAAATGACTGCTGAATCGGGCTCGTGCTGATCTGTTGAGTTTTGGCTGGATTTTAAACGTAAAACGAGAGTGTGGTTGTATACACAGGCTGCAGCTGAGTGCAGTAGCTGCTGATATGCTGGATTAAGTGCCGATTCACTCAAATGAACTCACATTAACCAGCATTAGGATAAAGCTCAACAAACATTTAGAAATACATTTAAACTGCACATTAGCATGATGGTCTAACATACTAGCCTGTCCACTATCATCAAGATATCAGTTTAAATGTGAGGAATGACCAGATGGACACACGTCTCTTCTGAATAGTTCTAGGGCTGTTTTATGCTATTTTCCAGACATTGTTAAGATTTTTTTGGCAAAAATAAGAGCATTTTTTATTGAATATTATTATAATTGATTGTATTAACATTCCAAAATTCATGTAGTTGAACTGCCACCTACATTTATTATTTCGTAATACATGGCCTTATTAGTATTAGCATTGTTTATGCATACTAATCAAGAAAACTCTCAGTAGAATTGCACACTTTGTTTATTTATTTCATTATTTACTAATTAAATTTGAACACTGTTCACACACACACACACACACACAGACACACACATACAAGGCCACACGTGAGCTGGCCTGAGGCCTGAACTGAAGAACAGAGTGTTCTGCTGTTTCTCTCTCACTCTCAGAGCCAGATCAATTATTCATTCCTCCAAGCCCTACACCACTCTCACTACATGCCTCTCTTCATCTCTTTTCCCCTTACTCACTCTCTCAGGCCCTCTCTCTCTCTCTCTCTCTCTCTCTCTCTCTCTCCACCACACATTTGGCTCCATTCAGTCTTTTCTCTTTCTTTCTCTTTCTGATTAACTCTATTCACTCACATATGAGCCTTCATCCAGGCAGATACTGCTGTGTGCACACACACACATACAAAGAATCCTGTCTGGTCTGGTCTGGTCAGAGAAGTGGTTGAAAGTCCTTGACACACTGCCCCAGCTCTGACCAGGCCAATGTCTTATTGATGCTCTCTGACAAAGTCCAGGCAACATTGCTAGTGGACTGCTATTGGATGACAGAGTGCATGTGCCAGTACAGAAGAGAGACTGAGAAAAAGATCCAGCAATGATTTGGCAACCCTGTACCTGCAGAGGTATCAAGACAATTAAACGCTATGTGTTTACATCGCAGGGAGGAGGCAGCACTAATCTGATATATATATTTTTTTTTGCCTAAATCTAACACGGAATTTTTAGAGCTGTGTGAACACAAAAATTGGATTATTTCAAATTGGATTTGAGTCACTTCCATATGTGGTCCTAAAATAGATGCATGACAGATACAGTCAGATCAGAATTCATACTCTTTCAAAAATTATTATCTTTTTTTATAACACTTCAGTATGCATGTGCTTATCACTGTCAGCATCATCCAGTACTGGCAGTGTGTCAGCAGCAGCAGACTTGCTAAGCGGTAAAACTGCTGAAATGTATGCATATGGGCCTTTAGGGCAGAGGACTGTTCACACTAACCCCATCAGAATTATCATGAAGTTATTGATATGAATGTTAAAATCAAAGTCAAAGAGTAAAGAGTGAAATATAGCTTCCCCAGGACACAGTGCTACACGGTCCCTTAATGCTGAACTTTAACCCTACATCAAAGCAGAGAAAAGGACAGTTTCAGTGTTTGATAGGAAATCAATAGTCACCTACTCAGCCTTAGACGTTTGCTCATATTCAGTGGTAAAAATACTTACAGGGGAATTTCACGGTTTTTTCTAAATTTTGGCATAATTTGATTTCTGTGAACAATATTGTTCTGAGTGATTTGACCTGAAATACTAAACGGTAGTGAAACGTACTAGGATTCATTATCCAAAACCACAAGTAAACCTAAAAGTGCCTTTGGAGTTTCTATGTAATACTGATAATGCTAAACTAGTGGTGAATTTAAAAAATATTAATTTTGCCTCACCATGCCCTGTATGTACCTCGCCACCAAGAATGTGCTTTAAAAGATATGTTTGAAGTCAAACATTAATTTAAAAAAACTATTGCATCAGCATTTAGAGGCATTAAACTCTTCAGATGTCTGGTTCCTATTATTTTGTTAGATTTGTATTTCACCTGAGTACTATTAAAACTGAATACTTGCACTTCTGCTTCATCACATTTCCTAAAGAAAAACATACATTTCCATTTAGACAAATCTCAAAGGCTAAGAGATGTTTCCCTTTTCTTGCTTATTTTTCTCGTTACAGTTTTTTCATATTCAATTTCTTTTCTCACATTCGTATCAATGTAAAATGAAACTATGCTGCTAACTATGCAAATTCATCACAATGCAAGGACCATCAGCCACCACAGCACACACAGAGTTTGCCAAAAAGGGTTTAAGAGAAGAGGACTCAGTAGCCACAGAGTGATCACTGTTGAAGTTGAAGCACGTCCTGTCTTTTCATTTTATGCTGTAAATCATCTACTTGTTACTCTTACATACATTAGTATGTTTAAATGTACAAATCTGATTCCATTCTATCTTAAACACGTAATGTAATTATGCTTGAATATAAAAGGGGCATCCAGAAAAGGCCTAGTCCGTTATGAATGAGGATGGGATGAGGCTCGCCACTTTGCCAAAAAATTTATCAGCAAAAAATCCAACAGGTAAAAAACAGCATTCCTCAGCCAGTCATTACAAAGATTTTAGGTATTTCACCCTCTACAGTGCATAATCATCAAAAGATTCAGGGCTTTCCAGAGAAATCTCTGTACATAAAGGGCAAAGCCAAAAATCACAAATGACTGCCTGTGACCTTTAAATGTAGATGGAACTGCAAAAAAGTGTGTTTTGTACTGTTTTCAATTTATTACAGGTCAGACAAAATTTACTAATCAGTGCTTTCTGTTTATATTAGCATTTCACATAGTCTCCCAACTTTTCTGGAATTAAGTTTGTGGATATTTCTTTACTTTCAAATAAAATTTTTCTTTATATTTCCACTTTTAATTGACACAGTACCCATACTTCACTTCAGCACCGTTTTCCTGTTTCCACCACAGCTTAGATCTGTAGTCAGTGGTTGAATTATGTACTTTATTTACAGTGGGAGAAAAAGTGAAGAAGATACCATCTTCCCATAACAAAGTAGATCATGCCAGCTAACTAGCTAATGTTAGTAGTTTACCAGATAGGCTTTGCTAACAAGTCCTCTATGTTTATGTTTACTTGACAACTTCACAAGTGGGGAAAAGAAGCAACAGGATCTAACCACCAGGTGAAAGCAGCATGATGACAATCACTTACAAACCCAAGTGTGAGCCATCAAGGCAGAAACACTGGATCCGAGCGAGAAACGGGAGACGAGCAGTGAGGTTTTGTAAGGTGAGCGTAGCCATATTTTAGAGAGCATGCACAAACATACACACACACACCCCTAAAAGCAGCGAGCGGAGTGACCCACACACACCTCTGTGTTGACGTCCATGCCGGCCTCCAGCAGCGCCTGGACGGTGGAGTGGTGGCCGTTGCGGGCAGCCAGATGCAGCGGTGTGTGTACACGTGTGTTGAGGCTCATGAGGTTGGGGTGCGCGCTCAGCAGCATGCGCACCACCTGCAGCCGCCCGTACAGCGCCGCCAGGTCCAGAGGAGTCTCCCCCCGGCTGTTTCTCATGCTGGGGTCCGTCAGCTCCTGCAGCAGCACAGATACCACCTCTGAGTGACCGTACTGTGCCGCGCAGTGCAGTGCCGTTTCCTTCTCGTGATTCTGAAACACACAGAGACACAGGACTGGTCACACTCAGGACCACCTTATTTTTCACTATATTCCATATACTAGAGACATCAAAACAACAAAGCACTTTGACCAAAAAAGGTCGAAAAATTATCTTATATTTTAGATTCTTCAAATAAGCCCCCCTTTGTCTTGATGCACTCTTTCAAGCTGCTTCACAAGGAATGCTTTTCTAACAAGATTGTAGAGTTTCCACAGATACTGAGCCCTTGCTGACTTTTTTAAGTAAAAAAGTCACTGAGATGTAATCAAAGACCTTCAAGATGGTCTGATGTGAAATGGTACATTGTAGAAAAACGTAACTCAGATTTTCTTTACAGTGGTGGTAACAAGATCCAGGGGTTGTGATATTTTGTGCATATATAGTCATTTTTTTTACTATCCAAAACCACCAGTAAACACATGCCTTCTGAGTTTTGATGTAATGTTGATAATGAATAAAAACTGTGAATCTGGAAAAATGTAAACTTTCTTTGGGGGCTATTTTGCCGCACAATGTACATGTATCTTAGAATTATCATAAAAACAATGTCTCAGCCATCAGGCAGTGTATTTATAATCACTTCAAGTAATAGTTTTCTGTGAAGGAGCTTTTAAAGGCATTAAACTTTTCAGATGTCTGGTTCCCATCACAACCACTGTGCACAATGTGGACACATTATAGTTTCGAAACTTGCTACTTACTCCCCAGTCCATGCACTTTACATATGAAAACTACACAAAGCCAGCTCATTTTGAATACACTGTTTTTGTGATGTCACTAAAAACAATACATTTAATTCAAATATCCACCTACTCAGACTACAGCAACTTAGCTCCGCCCATTCACACTGAAGTTATAAGGCGTGTTCCAGCCCAGACTGCTTTCTCAATGAATCACAATAAAGGGCAGCCAATCAGAACAGAGGTCACTTGCATATAACAGTCTTTAAGGCAGAGTAATGAAAACAGCCTGATAGATTTTAAGGGAAAAAGCGAGGTTGAAAATGGTGATGGAAAAGGAATTCTGACTGTTTGTGATATACAAAATAAAATACAAGAAAAATGTATGTTTTATAAGCCTAGGATCTTAAGGGGTTAACGACATATCCCACCATGCAGCTTGTATCCAATAGTACTGGAAGGAAACACCATGAGATGGTGAACAGGAGTCTACAGTTGCAGCTTGGGAGGTCTTCCGTATGAAACTGAGTCATGCGCCTCATGTATTTCCTTACAAACTTTTCAAATAGCTTTGTTCTGGCTCTCCTCAACACACAGAACAACAGTGTGCGTATGTGAGAGAGAGACACACTTTTTCCCTCAGATAAGATGAATTGGTATTTTTTACCATAGCACCCCTATAAAATGCTCTTTTATATGGTGTATGTGAGTGTACTGTGTGTGTGTGTATATGTGTGTGTGTGCGTGTGTGCTATGGAAGATTATGTCACATTACAGTGAGCGGGCAATAGCGTGTTTAAGCTATGGGAAGGCAGCTGAACACTCACAGCTAAGGCTGCCAATAACTGAGCAAACTACAGCAAGTGGCTGATTTAACTGAAATGACTTATTTGAAGTAAATGGGATGATTTAGAGTAATGATAAGAGCCTCCTACAGAGAAAGAGCCATCTCTAGAGTCACAAGCAGCTCACGCTTTCTTACACACCATACACCACAGTCCCTCTCTCTCTCTCTCTCTCTTCCCTTCCCAATGCTTTTCATTTTTTCTTTTTCAGATGTTCCTATTTCATCATATAAAAGCAGTTTTTAGTGATGTTAAAATAAAAAAAAAAGTTTCAATTAATTTCTTCTGGAAGATATGATGCTACAACACAACTGCGGTAGCAAAGAAGTGGTGAACTGCATTATAGATAAACCTTTCAAAGGCAGAAAGCTTACTTCATGAACAACTTTTATTATAAAAGAACATCTAGCTCAATGACCATGACAGCTAGTTTGTTGAGGAGCTCTTTAGTGAAATGAAGTACTGATGTACAGGTATGTGTAAAAGACACATATGTAGGACTGTGCTGAGGCCAGAGACCACCCTTCATTTATTTAATTTTCAGTCAAACCACCATTATTAAGCACACATTATTTAACTTTAATTTAACTTTTTTTTTTTCAAACAGATTTCTTTGAAAAATTAAACTCCCCCAATATGAATTTAGGTGGCGATACTAAATACTGGAAAGTTTGACATTATATTTAGTGGTTAAGGCATCATTTTCTTTTTCCTCTTTGACTAGAAATGAAATGAAGGTTTGTCTCTGACAGATACTGTAGATACTGAATTGATACTGATACTGAATGAAAGGCCCAGGTTGGGACGGCAGATGATAAACCTCACCATAAGTATGAAATGTATTATGTAAGTTATGTAGTTATAAGAGTGAGGCAGAAAAGTCTGGACTGGTTGGAGTTTAAGGAGTTATGGATGCCTCAGCTAAATTAAAAATGAAAGTCTGCCTTCAGAAGGTTGATAGCGTAATGATACTAATCATAAGAGCAACCCGGGCCAACTCATTTAAACTGGGCAGAAAGATCAATATCTCTCACTCCTTGATGGAATGAGGAACTATAAAAACCTGATTCTGCAAGCACTGAAATTACCCCAAAGCTGCTACAAAACACAGTTAAACCCAGTTACAATTCAGCTCCACCACACCTCTATAAAAGAGCACAGCAGTCCCAATTTCCCCCAACTCTGATGCTATGAGATTAGACTCCTGAGTGTGTGTATGTGAGAGTAATGGCAATGATAGGGACAGAGAGAGGGAGAGAGAGGAGGAGGGGGGGGCTGAAGGTGTTATTTCCTACCCTTCACTTTATTAATGTCAAAGTTACTCTGCCAGAGGAAAACTGGAACATCACAGACAATCATGCATCCTGTCACAGTGAAAAGCAATCAATACACCTTAGTCAGATAAAAAATAAACAGTCAAAACTGTGCAGGACTAGAAAAATGAAAAGCTGCTTCACAAACAAGCTTGTTCTGTTTCGTACATGTTAAGATTTTATATTAGTTCAGTGATTATTAATCTCTTTAGGTGCACTTTTTCTTATCAGCAACTACCAACCAAACTCATTTAAAAGTCTTAGATGAAATTAATTATCCTTTTTTTCCCCACTGTAGGTGACCAGCATTCTATAGAAGCTTCCTTGCTGAAGTTGGTAACGTCGCCCCACGTTTATACAGCATATACAGCATTGTGCAGTACTGTCTTAGAGATGTGAGAAAATCATCTGTAAAGCCATTTATCGGTGCAGTTATTTGCTCAAAAGCACAAACGTTAAAATAAATGTAAAAAATAAATAAACAATACATTGCGATTTGAAGTTTGTCAGTGATTTAGCTTGATCATTTCAAAATCTCTCCTAAAGGAAGTCCAGTATTTACAGTTCCCATCCAACATCTGCTTCAGTTTATCAATCCTTCATTATATTAAAGCAGCTGCTGCTGATGGAATTTAAGAAATCAAAAACATGGGAAAGACACATTGGAGGGGACCTCAGACAACCTGTGTCTAAGAGTGTTCTGAGGAATATGTTGGACCCAAGCACTAAAGAAGAGTTCCACTGATTTTTCGAATTTCTGCACAGCTCAATCATTGAGGTGTAAACAAAGCCATCCAGAGTGTTTTGGTGTGAAACAGTTCACTGCAGAGAAATGTGCTGACACAGATTTCTTTATAGTGGTGGTGACAGAAACCAGAGATCACAATGTCTACAACAGAAATATAGCAATTTTCCTTCTAAGAAAAAAAAGGGATTGTCACTGGGGTGGTACCCCTCACATCACTGGGGTGGAACCCACAAGGGTGTGTTTTCAGTACCTTCACAACATAACTGGACCATAATCCATTGCAGTTTGATTTTAAGTTGCATTGACTACATTCACCCTGTCTTTTCTCTAGGGTTATCATTTTCTATTTTATAACATTAGGTTATGAAAAGGTATAAATATGCAATTACTCATTAAAGGTACAGTTGGACCTTAAGTTTGTACCTTCATGAACAGAAATGCGCCTGTACAGTGAACCTACATGTGTCTTCTGAGTTTTTGGATGTAATGTTCATAATGATAAAATGTTGTACATCTGAAAAAAAATAATTTTTCCATATAACACCCTGCGTTCCACCATGAATGTATTAAAAATAAAATGTTTTATGCCAAAAATGTGTCTCAAAACTATCATAAAACAGTGTTTCAGACATCAGGCAGTATATGTACAACCATTTTATGCTATAACTTTCTGTGAGGGAGCTTTTAGAGGCATTAAACTCTTCTTAATCTATTAAGGTCTTAAACTCTGTTTCCTATCACTACTGCTGTGAGCTATTCTGCAGTTCACTTTACACAATATGAATGACTGTGTGTGTTCATGTCTCTTAACTGCTTAATTACGCAATTTTATTTTAACGGTGGAATTCCGTTTTCAGATTGTTGCTTCAATTCACCACGTCACATTTCCTTTGCATAAAGTTGTTTAAAAGTTGTCATTTTGTCAACCTTTAGCTGTGTCACTTGTTGCTAAATTGCAGTTATGTCTCCTACTTTAAAAAGAAATGCCTCTTTGTTGCCTGCTAACGTGAATGCAGGGTAAATGTCTGATATTTTTTATACTGGGCTCCAAAGAAAAACATTGCCAAAATAGTAACTTTACAAGAGAAAGCAAAAATATTCTTAACTTTTATTGTAAGTCAGTGTACAAAGGTTTCATTAATAAGTAATTAAGTAATTTTGGAACATTTCTATTGGTCCATTCATCATACAATTTTCACACAAATGTAAAGAGCAGCTGCTGTCCTCAAATGACAGAAAAATATGTTTTTTTGTTTGTATGTTAATATGACGCTTTTTTTTAAGTACACTTAAAAAAAAGTGTGACTGGAGAAATTATTTACACAGTAGTGGAATACAGACAATACAAACAATATATTTTAACTGTTTTTATTTTTTGCATTTGAAAATAGCGCAAGACCAAAA